CCCCCACCCCCACCATTACTGATGGAGGAGCATGTCATGATAGACATTAAATCAGTTAATCACACGATGAACTAAAATGAGGTTGACAATTTTCATTTGCCTGCTTGATATTATCATTTATCACAATAATTTCTGAGAAAACTTATCTTCCTTCAAAACCTGTTATTGTGACAGGCCCACTGATGTGTTCTGACCACCTCGGCCCATTCAGAAGACACACGGAGGCAGAGGTGGTGAAACTTCCTGCTTCTGTACCTCAGAGGAAAAAAACGTTACTCACTGCCTTCTGAAAAGGTGGGCTGGTGTAGTGCTGATTGACAGCTTCAGGGACCACCCAGCTGCAGGATTCTTAAGTCAAAACACCAGATTTACACATTCAGTATTTATCTTTTTTTTTCTCCAGCTACTTGTTACAGAGCAGGAAATAAAAAAGGCTACAAATCCCATCGTCACAAAGACTGGCTAAAATCMTGCAGCAGGATACAAATAAGAGTCAGGTTATTTTGATACTTGAAACCTACTTGGATGTACAGTATTTTGATCTCTGCAAAATAATAAGGGACAAGTCATTCTGCAGCTCRTCAGCAGATTGAGTGACAGCAGCACGTCAGAGCAGCCATGTTTTCTTTCCACACCTCGTACCGATTAATGTGAAAGCACATGTGAGCGTGGTAAAACAGCACCTCTGTCCGTGACTTCTGAACTGTCAGAGGGAATGTCGACACAGAATGGACTGTTTGTCCATTTAATGGTACTGTCTTCTGAATAGGGATGCAGGATTTATTGGCATTAACATCATTTTTTAGAATATTATCGGTCTGATAGGTAAAACTGTGCCGATATTAACGTCCAAAACTGATTTCCCACTTTTTATCTTTGTGTTTCTGTTTTGGGAGGGGAGATGTTTGGTAGAGTGATGTCTGTTTGATCGTGGTAGTGTTAGTGGCGCTGCGTAGCCAGGAATAACTGAAGTAATGTCTTGACAGCGGTCTGGTCATTTTTTATGGTATCCAAAAAAGACACAAATGTGTTTGTCCATATATGTCGATGTATAATGGCTTTATACTTAATGTTTATTTTGTGTGGGTACAACATCCTGTCCTTAGTGAGTTCTTCTGGAAATATTTGTTTGACACCGAAAGAGTTTGAAGGTCGATGAAGTGATATTTTAAGTCTTTTATGCTGGAGATGCAGCAAAACTCACATCCGTCTTATCTCTCTGGCATTTCAGATATATTGTTAAAACCTCAGGAAATTATTGTCTATAGTGGAAAAATGTGGAGTGTATCTCAGG